GCTGGCGCTGCTGCTGCTCCTGCTGCTACTCCTGCTCCTGCTCCTGCTGCTGCTGCTGCTGGTGTTGGCTGAAAGACTTGTATAGATATAAAATTATGCGCGTTTATTCGTAAATTAAGTGCTGGCTGTTGCTTTCTGAAAGTTGGCGAAGGCGAAGGCGAAGGCGAAGGCGAAGGCAAGCAACCAACTAACTTGCCCTGCGGTTCGCTTCGTTTCCTTTCCACTCAAAGGGATTTGCCTTCGAGTGCATTTGGGTGCGTCAACCACGAGCCACGTCCCTTCCTTTCTTTAAGCTGAAACTCTTGCTGATTTCAAATATCTTTCAAACGTTGAATTACGAATTCATAAAGCCTAAGTGCTTTGCCCAGTATCAATAGCAACACAACATTCATCAACACACATCACACACATTTTTTCTTAATACACAGGAATGAAACTACATTTGCAAAAGTTCCGAGTCCATTGAACCTGAGGCACGTGAGCGGCTAAGGCTAAGGTAATAAAGCAAAGATAAGACCTAAATTGCATGACCAAACGCTTTGCATGCGCCAGCCCTGGGCCATGCAGAGCAGCCAAGCAGGTGCGAGCTGTGCATGCCATGAAGCAGGGGTTTACTATATTGAACTGAAATCAGTCTGAGCTTGAATGCCTGAGGACGGCCTGTGTGAAGCAAAGTGAAATAAAGAAAAGCTAATGCAGAGAAATACCCTTCAGAATTGGATAAGTTGGATTAAAAAATAAATGAAAAGCTTGACTGATTGATAAACTGACTAAGTGACTAATCTATAGACTGACTAATTGACAAACTGACTGACAGATTGCTTTACTTATTAACTGACGAATGGACTGACTGATGATTAATCGACTAGATGACTAGATGACTGACTTAATTATTGAGTAATTGATTGACTGATTGACTATCAGAAGGATTGACTAATGGAATGACTAATGAACTGATTTATGTAAAAAAATTAGTCATTATTCAGTGACTGCCAGATAGACTAGTAGATTGACTTGTTGGATGACTGATTGATTGACTGATGAACTGATTGACTTATGACTAACTGACTAATGGACTGACCAATCGATTAACTGATAGGTTGTTTTTACTGATTGACTGTTGGACTGATTGATTGACTGACTGACTGATGAGCTGATTGACTTATGACTAACTGACTAATGGACTGACCGATCGATTAACTGATAGGTTGTTTGACTGATTGACTGTTGGACTGATTGATTGCCTGATAGATTGACTGTTTGACTGATTGATTGACTGACTGAATTGAATTACCTAATCGACTGATCGATCGGTAAATTAACTAATTGACTGACTAATTGTCGAATTGATTGACAGATTGTCTGATGGCTTATTGACTGACTATTGGACTGACTGAAAGAATGACCAATACGCTGATTTATTGACTAATTGATAGACTGATTGATTGATGAATTTAATTGTTGGCAGACTGATAAATTCACTAAGTGAGAATAGAATAAAGAAAACATTAATAATAGCGAAAATTAAAGCAATATACATATTATTTTCTGATTCTATAATTTAATAAAAATTGTGTGTGGTATTTATTTATTTATTTATTTTATTTTTTTTTTTTTTTTTTTTGTATTTAATTATTTATTTAATTTTTTAAATAAGAGCATTCTTAAACTTAACATTTTCCTATACATAAATATCTATAAACAACATAAAATGAAATGCCCAAATAGAAAAGACATTATTTCCATTGAAAATGATATAGGGACACAAATATTTATATTATTGTTAGTCGATGCAAATGCAAATAGAATGCCAATACGACATACCTCATATGCTTTATGCACATTTTAGACAGATAGAGTTTCATTAGTTTTCAATCTATCACATGCAATCAGAGCGAGAGAGGGAGAGAGAGAGTGAAAAAGAGAGATAGCATATGATAGAGACTCCATGATACAGCAGCACACATCCCTTTCACTCAACGTCTAGGATAGCTACCTAGTCAACATTCAGCTGTGGATGCCACAGCCACTGGCACATTATTGGCAGGCAGCAACGGTAGCAGCAGCAGCAGACGGCAGCAGGAGGCGGCAACAGGAGACGGCGGCATCAGGAGTCGGGAAACATGGCCACGACGGACTGAGCAACGCTTTGAAGCGCGCTAAAAATTTCAGATTTTCAGAACATAACATTTTACGGTTTTACGGTTCATTGCCGCATGCAGGAAAGTGAAAGATACATGCATATATATATATATACATATACAATGTGTGTGTGTGTGTGTGTGGTTTGTTGGCATATGAAAACGATACACTCGTTTGCTCACTTTTTGCAAAATCGCTTGAAAATCGTTTGAAGCGCCGTTCGACAGCAGCGAGCGGCGGTCGCGCGGTGTGAGCGGCAATGAAGGGAGCCCGGCTTAACTTTTGGGCTTTCATTGCTTTTGCTTCTGCTGAGCTTCAACAAAATATTTTAAGTAGTTTAGAAAGTCTGTGAGTGTGTGTGTGTGCGAGAGTATGTGGGGATAGCTCATATATCAGTATCGGTGACAAAAAAAAAAAAAAAAGCTAAAGGTTTGGAAAATTTAACAGCCGCATCGATGTCTCTTTTTGTGTGAGTGTGTGCCTATGTGGACGGGTGTGTGTGTGTGCGTGTGGCTGTCTGTGTGTGTTTGTGTTAACTTTTTGCTTTTAAATTGTTCATGCAACTTTTGCTGCAGCCTTTGTGCGCTGATGCTCGCGACTTTTTTTTATTTTTGGCTATTAGCAAATGCGATTTTCCTATTTTAATTGACTTTCAATATTTGAGAGGTATTAAATTTGCTTAATATATATGTATTTTTTATTTATTTTTTATTTTTATTTAATTTACTCTTTTCATTGTACTGTGAATAGAAAATTTAAAAAACATAAAATAAAAGCATGGGCTAATTATTGAAGCCTTTAGCTAACTATTATAACAGTAAGATATTAATAATTAGTTTTTTATATATAAATATTAATTATTAATTTCCATTTAGATATTAATTGATATATAATGTGCCGATTTCAATGATCATGTAATAATATGTATTTTTTAGAGAAAGTATAAGGAAGGAAGAAAACAATCCCATGATTCTATTTTTTGTATGTGAATCTCAATCAACAGTTTTAAATGTGAATATAGAGATGGAAAGTATTATAAATTTCTCCAAAAGCCAACAGTTATATGTATATAGATATTGACTCGAATTGATTCACCCTCGTCGGCCTTCTTGGATCTCTGGAATCAGAAGGGCTAATACCTTGATTCTAGTATCTTTTCAAGTCTTGTCAAGAACTTTCTCAGATTTCCTCTTTATAATAGTTAAACAAAAATTGTAAAGCGAATCTTTCTAAAAAAAAAAAAAAAAAAATAAGTTCTGCTCCTAGAGTCAATATATGTCATGCACTAAGCCATTTTAATTACAATATGATTCGGCTTTTGATTTATATTTTTCAGAGAAAATTCCTGTACCTTTGGCAACTTCTCGTAAGTAGCTGATCTAGTCAATGCGCTGGCAACTTTAAGCAGCTTACTTTCCGCTGCGAAGCTACGGCGACTGGCTCGGATGCAACTTTGTGGCATTCAGGCAGATTCGCGCCCGCACACTTCCCATCTCGAGTGGGCGTCTGAGAAGTGCACTTATGTGTGGAGTCAAAGTCGGGCAGCCGAAAAAAGTCTATACCCAGTAAGAGAGAGAGAGAGAGAGTGAGATAGTGAGACAGTGCGACAGAGAGAAAGCCACTTGACAGCCACAAAGCGGCGCTGGCTTGTCACCCGGTTCTCTCTCGGTCAAAGCATTGCGCGCCAAGTGCCCCTCCACAGCAGGGCAGAGCAGAGCAGTTAAGAAGAGCGCAGCCGATGCCATAAATGTTGCAACTTGCACTGCAGACAACTTGCGCCAAGCCACGCCCCGCCGCCTCCCACCCACCAGCGTTGCGCAAAGTGTTTAAGCGTGAAAGCAAGTGGCAAACAGGCAAACAAGCAAACGTTTGCCATTTTTGTCTCGTACTCTGTGCGGCATTTTAGCGAGTGTCTTCCTCCAGTTTCAGACAATTTCACAGCAATTTAAGTTTTTTGCCTTTGTGTATATGTGTGGGTGTGTGTGTGTGTGTGTGTGTGTTTAAGCAACACTTCAATTAAAGAGCAGCAGCAGCAGCCAAAACTATGTCAACCATGGCCGAACCGGATGTGCATCTCAATTTCGGCAAACACTCGGTCGCTCGCCACTTTCACAAGGTGATTAAACTCATTTGTTGTAGCTCCAAACACTAAGCCATAGATCCTAAAGAGAAATGCTGCCTGTTCCGTTTAGCAGCAACAATAAGTAGAAAGAGGCTGCGATTCCAAGTGCTCGACTAGCGAATACCCTACAATACCAAAGTGGGAATGGAGGAAGTTGAATCGATTGAGGCTGAGAACTGTTTGAATGAGCTAAATCGAAGTCTGAAATGCATTTTGTAAAGATTAGATTGATTATCGATGATTTGAAGCAAGCCTCAGCATGGAAGAATCAACAGCATCTGTACGGATCTCTACGTAGTTTCTTCTATAAATCTGCAGCTCTCATATAGTGCATGGAGCACAGACAAATTTTAGCCTGCATCATACACTTTAATCCGTAAACCAATATACCCTCTGCTCAACTCATTTTCAATTGGCTGCAGAGTATAATAACAACAATAACAACACCAACTGCTGGGAGCTGCAATAAATTTTGGCAACAAGCAAAAATAGTTTACAGCAGCGCATTCAGCACGTAGCAAATTGTAGCCAGGTGCTCTATCTCTCTGTACACAGGTGTATGTACAGGTGAGTATGTGTGTGTGGGTGTGCGCCTGTGTGTGTGTTTGCCTGCCACACATGAACAGGTGCGCTTTATGGTTGACTTCAACTTTAGCTACCTTTCGCCTCCGACCGCCTTCGACTGTCATAAAATTGCTTTTTGACTTAACAACAGCAACAACAACAACAACAACAATGACAACAACAACAAATTTTTGTATGATTTATTATTTTTCAATGTGCTTTGTGGCTGGGCTTAAGCCTTTCATTTCTTTCTTTTGCCCCACTTTGGCTGGCAGCACAATTTTGTCACATTTATTAACTGATGGATTGGGTGTAGCCCGACCGAAAAGTTTCATATTGAACCTGTTCAGCTCGTCCGCATATACCCTGTAAATAATTAATTTATATGTTGTGATAAATCTGTTTGGCTGGGAATAGTATGTAGTTGAAAATTTATTAAATATTATTATTATTATTATTATTTTTTTATTAAAATATTATTTCATAATTATTTTTTAGATTTATATAGATATATAAAAAATAAAATAAAAATTGATCTAAATATATATAATATCAAAATATTAGTATTTTAACAAATATTTCCACATAATATTAATTATAAATTTTAAGATTTTAAATTAATTAATGATAATTAACATAATATATATTTTTTATTATTATATTAAAAATTTTTTATTTATTTTATTGTATATATATTTTATTATGTGCATTTATCAAAATGCATTGTAAAATTTTATAATCATTTTGCTACCATATAATTTTTTAATTAATAAAATTATATTATTAAATACATAAAAATATTATAAATTTTATAAAATACTTTCAATTAAAAAAAAAAAAAAAAAGAAAATCTAGTTTTTTGTTCAAAAGACTAAATAATTAGCAATTCATCTTTGCCTCTACAACCTACATATTTCCTTTGCTTTTGACAGTTTCTACTCTTCATAGAGTATACACTTAGTCGTTAACTGCATTGATTTGTGCCTGATACATAATTTTCGTTTGAGCTTTGCTGCTGTTGCTCAGGTAGTTGGTCATCGATGCCCATTAAACATTTAATGTGTTGGCCAATAAGAAACTTTTGCGCTTAGCCCGGCTTAAGCGAACAGTTTGCCGCTGCTGGCATGCGTATTTATATACGCATCTGTGTGAGTATATGTGTGTGTATATAAAGTGTGTGCGCATTGGGAAGATATATGTATAATTAATTACTCTTTGGAAACTTTGACACATTTAATTATTATTTTATTAGTTTGACTATTAACTGGCGGCAGATTGTGTGGGCGCGTCTGTAGTGCGTGGCCACATAGTGTGGTCATAAATATTTCAGACAGCCATCGTACGCCATAGCCAGTGCAGACTGTAATTTTCCATGACTTGGCTCTACTTTTGGTTTGCTTGACTGAGCTGTAGCTCAAATCTGTATCAGTCTATGGCATTAGTCTTTGTTTTTACCAAATGCATTTAATTGTTGTCATAAAGTTTTAGCACACACACACACATACAGTCACACAGAGGCTTTTGCTTAGGTACACATGCGTTTGCGTTGCTTTTCGTTTCATTTTCTTTTGGGAAAGTTTTTTGTGTACTTTTGGCAAATCGAAATCGACTCGAAGAACTGCTGCCAAATCTTGTAAAATCCTTTTCGGCCGGACTGGCAATGGGCATTGAAACTAACTAACTACAGCACAAAAAAAAAAAAGAAAAAGAAAAAGAGAGAAACTTTTGCAGCAAATGAAGTTGTAGCTGAAGCTCACTCAAATCTTCTCTGTCAGCTGCTGTGACGCACTCGTTTGGCAACTGCAATTAAATGGGCTGCAAAAGTTTGCTTATGCTTGAAAATCGATGGCTAAATTGAAGCAAACTTGTTTTGTTGTGCATTTAATTTGCTTGCCATATGCAGCTGCTGCTGCTCCTGCTGCTGCCGCTGCTCCTCCTGCTGCAGTGGCGGCAGCTGTGTGGCAAGTGTGGCTTATGCAGGAGCATTAACAAACAGCCGGCGAAAGGGCATCTGCATTTTTAACAGCATATTTTAATGGCTGATTTTTAACATCAGCTCGGCGCACTTATTGACAGCTGCGACAGCCTGTGACGCAGCCCACTTTATCCCTCCCACTCCCTCTCTCTCTCTCTCTTTTTGATGCATATGTCATGCGATACACGCAACGATACAAAATTTATTTGCAACGCGCCTGTCATGCTCACACACACACAAGCCCATGACTTGATATATACATATATATATGTTTGTATATAAAAAACCGTAGTCGAGCAGCAGCAGCAGCAGCAGCGCTTGTATAAAAAATGTTTAATTTAATTTCTTGTCGCAAAAAAATGCCAGTAGCTCGACATTTTTCGTTTCTCGTTTTTCGTTTTTGCCTGGCAACTGCTGTGCCAACATAAAATGCTTAAACAATTTTTATAGGTAAGCATATCGAGAGGAACGGTATCGGGTGAGCTGGAGCCAAGTTAAGCTGATGCTGTGCTAATCGACGGACGTCAACTTTGATTGAATTTCAACATGAAAAATCACGCACTTTGACCGCATGATTGATTAAGCTCCAACCCAACTTGACAATTAACTGACAAATAGATTTAAACTAGGTTAACCCACCAGCATGTCCAGCCAAACGGAAAGCGCTTAAATATTCATTTGAACAGTAGTATATTAAGGCTGTCCATAGTATCTGTAGTACTGTTATTTTTCTGATTATCGGCAGGAGATCAATTAAGCTGCTACAGAGTTATTGAGCTACTGAAATGCATCTAAAATAAAAATTGGGTCCATAGTACTAGAAGTGCGCGAACAAGAGACGAGGTTCTCAAAGAAACTGAGAGTGATCGAAAGGGAGAGAGAGAGATATATATATATATGTATAGACAGAATGTTTGAATTAGGGCAATCAGTTTGAAAACATCAATATCTTACACATATACATACATATATATTTATTTTTGGTTGCTTGGTCCAACTGAATTTGGACATAAACTAAAAAAGAAGAAGAGCTAAATGTTTGATTTTATTTATTTAGATTTATTTTATAGTCTTATGAGTTATGCACTTAATATACTATTATATATATTATTATTATTAATTTATTTTTTAAAATAAAATTATGGTCTTAGTAATTTATTTATTTTTTTTTTTTTTGGGCTTTTATTTTGGTTTATTAATTTTTATTATTTTTATTATTATTATTATTATTTATTTTATTTTTTTTTTTGTTCTTGCTTTCATTAATATTTTAAAATATTTATTAATATTTAAAAGAATTGTGTAGCAGGCTACTAGCCTATGTATACTGTAGCTGGTTACTAGCCTATGTTATATTAGATTTAAGTTAACAGCATTATGGTTAACCATCGATAGATACACATCTATCGATAGTTAACCATATTGGTGGCTGAGGAGGCTGTCGATATGCAACATGCCATTTTGAGTAATAGAAAGAGGAGGATCGATACATTTTAAGCTTGAATGTGAACCATAGCAGACGTGTGTATATTAAGAAATTATGAAATAAAGAAATTAAATAAAAGGCCTACTACAATCTCAGAAGTGGGATAAAGTACACTAATTTTTCAAATTAAATAAAATGAATTTAAGCATAAATGAAATTAAGCATAGACGAAGTATCTGTGGTGCAGTTAAAGAAGTGGCTAGCTGCATTGGGCTTGTCGACTCAAGGGTGCAAGACTGAACTTGTCGCTCGCCTCAATGGCGTGCCCGCAAATTTGCGCGGCAGCGCCCCCGAAGTGGAACAGGGAGAGGAGGAGTCAGATCAAACTGGAGTATCGCAGACAGTGCAAATGCAACAGGAGGAAATAGACAGGAATGAAAATATTTTGCGAGAGCTAAGTGAGCAGATCGACGCAGCAAAGAAGCAGCTAAAAAATTTTCACACACGACAATTGGACAGAGACGGCAGTAGCAAGCGTGCCGAAATTAGCGCAAATGGCGTCGATGCAGAAGTTGAATTCGAAGAACGCGCGACTGACGCGCGCCAAAAGGGCGCCAGTGAAAATTGTGTAATAAATACAACGCACAATGATGAAGTGATGTCAATGATGTTTAAACTAGCTAAAGAAATTATGGTGGAATTCACTGGGGAGGAGTCTATTAGCAACTGGATAGCGCAATTGAATAATGTATCTCAATTATATCAACTAACGGACATGCAAAAAAAGTTGCTATGCATGGCCAAATTAAAAGGGAAAGCCATGCAATGGATACATGATGATTCATCGAGGATTGTGCAACCGTTGGGCACATTATTGGATGGATTGGCAGCAGCATTCGGAAGCAAGATATCCAAGGCCGAAATGCGTCGCAAGTTTGGGGCACGTATATGGAGTGTCGATGAGAAGTTCACCCAGTATTATGAAGAGAAAATACGTTTAGCAAGGGAAATTCGTTTAGATGTAGACGAGCTACTGGATGGTCTCATTGAAGGAATCCCAAATGCAGTTTTACGCGCGCAGGCCAGGATACAGTGCTTTGAAGACCCCAGCAAATTGGTAAGGGCTTTTGCAGAGGTGCGTTTGCCACTGCATCGATCTACTGGAGGAAAAGGGACAACAGCAGTGGGACCAGGGCTCGATAATGCAATGAAGGAGACGCGTTGCTTCAATTGCAACTATAAGGGGCATTGGGCAAGAGATTGTCAGAAGCCCAAGAGGGAGAAGGGTACGTGCTACCACTGCGGCGCTAAGGATCATATGGTGGCACAATGCACGAAGAGGAAGGATGATATTGGAAACAATTTCGTAAGGTTAATCAGTATACATTTTAAGTCCAAAGATAATGCCTCCATTATTGCAGAATGCCTCATAGATTCAGGAAGTCCTATTTCGTTTATTAAAAAATCGTGTGTCCCAGTTGGAATAAAACTTAAAGCACACGCAGAAAATTACTTTGGGCTAAATGAAAGCCAGTTAAATGTGATTGGAAAAACATTTGTTCATATTTTCAAGAAGTTTGAGAAAATAAATTTTTGGTTAATAGTTGTCCCTGATGAATCTATGAGGTCTGAAGTAATTTTAGGGAGAGATTTCATGGAAGCTTGCAATTTATATGTTGACCCAATCGCCTTGAGAATGATTTCAGTGGAAAGAGCAGCTGGCACGTTAGATAAATCGTTAGAAAATACATTGTTAGGAAACACATCGTTAGATAAATCGTTAGAAAATACATTGTTAGGAAACACATCGTTAGATAAATCGTTAGAAAATACATTGTTAGGAAACACATCGTTAGATAAATCGTTAGAAAATACATTGTTAGGAAACACATCGTTAGATAAATCGTTAGAAAATACATTGTTAGGAAACACATCGTTAGATAAATCGTTAGAAAATACATTCTT